GGTTAGTGTTGCATATATAATAAGAATATAAAAATAAATGTAGGTTTGTAGTAAATATAACTGTTAAAATTTTTTTCCATGAGGTCATAAGGTATGTTAATAAGTGTATTTGTTAACAGGGAGTCATTATCAAGCAATCACCAATTATGTAGAGGACAGAAAGACTGAGAAAGTGGTAAATAATGAAGATGTCAAGACAATGATACAGAATAATCTGGATTGATGTGTTTCTTCTCCATTCTTGCAGTTTATTTGCCTTCCCCTTCTGAACCTGTTTCATTGGAATTATAAAATTAGTTCTGTGGCTTTTAGCTTCATTTTCAAGTTCAAAGAAAGGGACTGTTTTCTTATTTTGCTTAGAGCAATGTGAAAAATAAGATAAGCTGCAATGTCTGGTGTGGTTATGGCTATTTCCATCTTCCCAGAGGAAGATTCAAGCCTTAAAATATTCCTGTTAGCCACTAGCTGCTGGGATTTAAAATATCCGGGTCTCTGGATCAGTTTTGATTTTTTGTATGAATTTTATTTATTTTATTCATTCATTCAGCCTCTGGATCAGATTGCGAAGTACTTCTCGGGGCAAGGAATTCCATTTCCCAAAATTGAGATAAGTGAGGAAGACAGGGAAAACTTGAAGGAGTGCTATGTATTTGAAGATGCTGACAGTCCACAAGCCCCAACAGTGCTTTTTTTCCCTCTAGTAAATGACACCTTCAAGAAATATAAAGCTCCTGGTGAGTCATCTGTGGTAGCAATTTTAGTAAAAATTCTTTTTCCTAGTGAGTCCTCTCCATTTCATGTCTAATGTCTCACTGTCATCTTTTACCATTCCAATGTCAGCATTATCAGTCTCATCAGTGAGAAAACCAAACCCAAACCTGGTCTGTGCCAGTACATCTGAACTATCTGAGCTCCAGAAGCTTTTCTTAATACATTTGAGATGAGTACAGGCAATTATTTCACAGGAACTACTAGAGACAGTATGAAGGTAAAACCCCAAAATATGTATACCAAAGGGGACAGGTCCTCAACACAAGCTATTTTACTCTACAGACATGGGCTTGTTATGCACTGCTGCTTGCAAACAAAGATGAGGCAAAACCTTCTGCTGGTTTTGGTGGTAAGCCCGTTCATCTGGGTCTTGTTCATGTATTTAAATGTAATCTCCCAGTCGACAGAGATCTTCAGTTTTAATTTGAATGATATCCTCTCTGAGTGCAATAATATCTTCTGAACTTTCAGTAAGAGGGTTATTATTTTATCCAGTACAGGAGTATCTTGTTTGCCTTTCGCTTGTGCATTTCTGGTTTGGGTAGCAAAGACTATGATGTCCATGCAGGGGTCTAGCATTGCTGCTGCTAATGCTGTTCTGATTCCCAGCTGTTTGGGTGATGTAAATGTTGAATGATGTAAAATCATATTTGGATACAGGCTTAATCCAGATGCTAAAGAATACATTGCTACTATGTTACTTTTACATCCCTCTGGCAAATTGTATCTTTCCTTCCATATCTCCCTTGTCTACCTATAATTATGTAAATGACTGATAGGAGCCACAGACTACAATAAAACCTTATTGGTGCATCTCCTTGTGGTTTGCCCCTCAGGTTTGGAAAGGAGTCCTGAAGAGATGGTTGAAGGCAAAGTTGATGTCTCCACCATCCTCTCCCCATTTACAACAAGGGAGGTGTGTTTCAGTGAAGAGAATTTTGACAAACTGGTGAAACTGACTGATTACAATGTCTTGAATAACGAGAAGTTGATTATTCAGGCCTTGCGCATGGCAGTGGCACGGAGGAAGCAGCGGAATTATTAGCCACGACACACTGGCTTTAACTTTCCTTATGATGTTTCTTAGGTTGTCTGTGGTTTGGTAAGATCAAGACATTTGATGGTAGCCAGTTATACTTGCAGTAGAAATCACATCATCCTAAGGACTTGCTGGACTCCACCCTATTTACACAGTTCAGGAAAACATACTGGAATTTACAAGTGGTTTAATCCAAAACAAACTTCAAAGCAGCAAATTTGTTTTTAGTTTTGTTACCTTGTTACTTTAACATTGTTATATATAGTCCATATAAATTATTATAATTTTGTGTAAGATGAAATATGTGGAACATTAAAATGTGTATCAAAACAGTATTTACATGGTGGGTTTTTCATTTGGCAATCCCTCGAACTGGAACTTCTTTGGTAAAAAACTAATCCATTGTACTGGTCCTGCTTATCTTAATTATTGAAGGTTATCATCTCTGATTTGATTGTCTGTCCACTAGGAGGTTTTTATTTACCGTTCTTCACTAATCCTTGAAAATAAATTTCTGAAGTTATTATAGCTATTGTAAAATCTATAAAGTTTTCACCACCAATGAAAAATACCCCTGAATTAGGTAATTTTTATTTCAGGAGATAAACAACTGAGCTGCTATTTACAGATCCGCTTATACTCAACCTAAGCAGTAGACATATTGCCCAATTTTCCTTCAGTTTTCTCCTGGACTTTTTGCTGACTGTTGTATCTCACTCATCTTTACCTGCCTTGACTGTTCCTGGAGGATGACCTTGCAATTTCTCCAAGTGTTTCACGAGATGCAAAGTGGCTGCCAGCTGTTTGCATAGAATAAGGCAATGCAAGAGAGCCTCTGGAGATCCCTTCCAGACATATTTTTTACACCTGTTCAACACTTATGGGCAAATGGTCTTTGCAGGGATTGTCCTGAAAGAGTGGTTTTTCATCATCAAAAATCCTAGAGTTTTTCTGGGGGAAGGTGGACTCTCACAGTTCTGCAACAGGCAGATCGTGAGCTTAGTCTTTCACAACAGCAGCCCTGCACTGTGGAGCTGTGATTCATGAAGAGATTATTCACAGCAGCCCAGAAAATGTTTTGGATTACCTTTCTTTTGGAAATAAAAGGCTCCCACTGTTGCAATGAATTTCAGACAGAGTCACCAGAGCAGAATTAGTATTGAGACCAGAAGAGTCTTGACTATGCTCAGAAGTGACAAATTTGTTTTTGTGGAATGAAGTTCTAGGTAATGGATGGGGGAAAAGATTCCTTCCTATGAAAAAAACTCAGCTGATCGTGCATTTTAGAGAAAACTGGGTGGTAGAAGAGAATGAGTGGGCAATGTTTTTCACTTATAAGCATGTTCATTGTGTTCGTGCTCCTGAAAAAACTTGAAGGGGCATGGTGTAACCCTGTTTTTAGGTACAGTATTGCATGTTTGAATCTAGATTATTATCCCTCCACGTGTGAGGCATCTGTAGTTGTAGTTCTGCTTCAATACACTAGATTATCAACTCATGTGATCACTCTGGGTCCTTTCTAGAGATATCTTTGAGTTTAGTATCATGGTTTCCAAGACCTTTTTGCTGGAAATGAAACAGAGCAAAATGAGAGATATTTCAGTCTGTTTCACAGGGGAAACTTACTGAACAATGGGATGGAAAAAAGCCAGGCAGGTGTAGGATGCAGCCTGAGCCTGATGAACATGACTTTTCATTGTGTCCTGCTGGGTGATATAAAACCTGCCTTTCCCTCTCTGAGAGAGTTCCTCCTGCTCTCCAGATCAATCTGCAGCTCTTCAGTTTCCCAGTGTTTCAATACCTTCTTTTTGAAACAGAGTGCTAATAGTGACTTTTTGATACATATATTTTTTTAATTTCAAGATCAGTCATAAAAACATGTAGGCTTATAACTGAGCTTTTGCTAAACCTCTAGGAATGTTTTCCTCCCTTTGACTACTGCTTTTTGTAATCTGTTAGTTTTCCATCCTTAATGTGTTCAAAGTTTATCTGGGTGACATTTGTTGGATCTAGTTCTTAAGTTAGAATGTCATAAAGTGTCAAATGTTTTAGGAAATTAAAGTTACCTCATGTCTGTGAAATTGCCTTTATCAATCAGTTCTCAATTCATTGCAAAGTAAACTGAAATTATTTTGAAATCAATTCCTCTGTTAATGTTCATAATAGCAAGGGTTATTTAAAAAAGACAAAAACAACCCCCAAACTCCCATTTTACTTCTTGTGTACTCACTTCATGTCGTCCCTCACTGAGGCAGGAACACCTCACATGATGTGTAGTGTCCTGCACAGTGAAGCCTTATAAATATGAAGACATGAAGAATAATTAACATTAATTTCAACATTGATTTCACTCTCACAAATGTATCCTCTCAGAGACCTTGAAGATCAATGAAACACCTTAATTCGGATGCAAAAAAATTACGAAATTTTTGAGAAAGTGAGTGAGCTTTTAAAGCCTTTTCTTTATAATGGAAATTCTATTACAGTTTCAACAGGTGACTTTGGGAATTGTTTCAAGCGATATATGTCACTGCAATATCTGCTTGGTTGAAAGACAGTTTTACTGCTTGAGTTTAGAAGAACAGAAGGTGAGACGGGGACAATAAAAATTCTTTCAGATAGGTCTTTAAGCAAAGACCCACCTACTCCCTGTAGGCCATGAAACCTACAAAAAGTCTTTTGTTTGACCATTGGTTTGTTTGGTTGTTCTGGGCTAAAGAATTCCTTGTTGCCCACTCCTGGGCAGCCAGATGGAACCTGGCCGATTCCAGTCACCTTTCCATAAGAGGCTGCATCTTGACAAACTCTCCTTGTGTGTCAAAAAGTGATGGGTATGCTTAAGAGTAACATTTGCTCAGTGCCTGTAACTGTGAAGGGAAGACACCTTTTCAGTCTCAATTTCCCTGTAACTACAGCTGCAAAGACCATCCTTCTGCAGTGCCAGAGCTGGGGTGCCTGCGCTTTCGTGCAGGTATGCAGCCTGCACTCACCTTCCGGGCAGCGAGGAGGAGGAGGAGGAGGGAGAGGAGGAGTCGGGAATTGCTCAAGTGGTGGTGGCGGGGTGAGGCTGCGCTGAGTCAAACACTAACACACCTGCCTGCCTGCTCCCGGCAGCCTAAGGCACAAGGAGTTCCTCTGTACCCATCAACCTACACCTTTCACACCTGGCTCAGACGCGGAAAAGACCACAATGGGATTGTTCTACAGCAAAAGCGAGGTAAGAAAAGATAAGAGGAGGCTCTGCAATAGGCTGAGCTGGCTGTCCCTTGGTAGCAGAGGGGACCTGCTGTAGGAGGTGGTGTTTCCACCTCTTGCATCTTCAGCTCTGAAAATTCTTCTTCAGCACCAAAGCTGAGAGCAAAGCAGGGCTTCTGTCTGGGTTTTGTGACTACTTTGTGTTTTGGCCTTCAGGACTGCAAAGGCTTTAATGATGCCGTAATTTAACTATTTTGAAAATCCCCAATTAAAAAGAAAAAAAGAGATACCTTTTTGCTTCCACTCAATGAGGCTAAGCAAAACAACTCACTGAGGAAAAATAAGGTCATTAATGTCAGTGAGTGCATAGGAAAAGTCAGGAAACTAATATTATATGAGGTGTTAGATATAGTTCTCTTAAATTTGTGACAGTTTTGGGGCATAAAGGAATGAATGGTAAGACATTGACCATTTTTATATATTTACCTATGTATTTGTTGCAGTGATACTCCCTGCTCTATAGGTAGTGTGCATGAACTGTCTCTTATATGTGTTTGTTGCTTCACTACTTAGTTTTTCTCTTTCCTTTTTACTCCTCTTGTTTTTTTGGTGTAGTTTTGTTGGAGTTTTTGTGGGGTTTGTTTGTTTATTGTTTGGATTTTGTGGGTGTGCTTTTTGTTGTTGTTGTTTTGGGGTTTTTTGTCATTTAGATCATTAAATGTGTGGGTTTTCCCTCCTGTTATTCCTTAAAGAAGGACACTTACCTAGGGAAAAGAAATACCTCACCTTCAGCCCCTATATACTCATTAAGTACCCTGTTTGTCTGATCCTTGCTTAGGATGAGAGAAGATGAAAAAACCAAACCAGTTACCTTGCAAGTTTGTTAAATGTCTTTTGATAAGCACTTAGGTTTAGGTGGTTTCCCAAAATTAGAATCATATAATGGCTTGGCTTGGAAGGCACCTTAAAAATCATCTAGGTACACCCCCTTCGTCATGGGCAGGGATTCCACCCACAAGTCCAGGTTGCTCAGGGCCCCTTCCAGTCTGGCCTTGAACTCTTCCAGGGATGGGGCATCCACAACTTCGCTGGGCAACCTGTCCCAGTGCCTCGCCACCCTCTGAGTAAAGGATTTCTTCCTAATATCTAATCCAAATCTCTTCTTTTTTAGTTTAAGTCTGTTCCCCTTCATCCTATCACTATCTGTGTAAAAATGCTCTCTCCTTTTTTCATAACCTCCTTTAAGTACAGGAAGGATGCAAATATTTCCTTTGATACTTTCCTGAGAGTTTTGCTTAGAGGAAGATTGGGTGAGCTGAATTATTCAGAGAGAAATAACTACAGAGATGGGGCTTTCATTCACTCCTTCTGAGAAGTTTGGGATAGGTCTCTAAAAGGCACTTTTCAGGTTCTCATGGTTTAAAAATCAGCACTGCTCTACATCAAGAATGGAATTATGTAGCTATAAATCAACTCATGAGCAGCATTATTACACCATGGTATCGTTACTAATTCCTGCCCTGCTAGATTGTTTGCTGTTCATTGTGTAATATAGTGGATATATATGACATCCTATGAATTTTCACAGATGAAGATGTGTGTCAGCTGTATTATTAACACAGCAAGGTTCTCTATCATACATTTCTCTGAGATTGGTTGTGGGAGTCAGACACCTCAAACTGAGGGTTACCACAAGTTTCCTCAGATTGGAGAGTGGAGAATTCAGAGGTTTGGTCTGTGATTGTACATTTTGTGTCTGTGGCCACACCTGGTTACAAACCTTCTGGGAAGAAGAAGACAATACTCAAGGAAGGACCTCCGTTTAGAAATGTTTTTGTTGATTGGAACTGAAACACTTAATTCAATGTTATCTCTGACTGTGCTTCTGTTCTTCCTTTCTGCCTGCTCATCCTATGCATTTTGTATGCTTTTCAACAGGCAGAACCCTCGCCATGCAACTTGCTTACTGTAAAAATCATACAGATGAAAAATGCCAGGAAAGCAGACTTGTGTGAGTATCTTTGTGGAGCATCCTTGTGCTTGTAAAGCTACTCTGAATATAGCCAAGTGTCACAAACACTACAGACTTTATAAAAGGAGAGAGACATCAGATGTGTGATCATGGTATGCTGAAGATGAGCTAGCACAGTTAGAAGATATTATTTATTCTTACATACTTGCCAATACAACACTGAAGTCTAGCCACCAATTGTAGTCCAGAACATGTTTACATAGAATGGATAAAATATTCTGCATCTGAATCTGCAAATAAGTCTTCTTTTGTTCACAGGATAGACTGTAATAAGAACTTAATTTCTATGGTTCCTTCTTGCAGTAATGTCCAGCCTGTGTAACCTTGGGTCTATCACAGGATATTTTGTGTGGGCTCAGGACTTCACACCTGACATCTTATGGGCTGTCAAATTTGATTCAACCATAGGCACAGCCATGTTTCAAAACTTAATTGAGGGCTCACAGTTAGCTTTTTCTATTCTTAATTATTTTTACAAAATGTCCAGGAATTATAGTTACATAAACGTTTATTAATGGTCCATAAATATCTGAACCGCAAAGCATTAGAAAAAGAGGTGTGAATGACAATCACCTCCAGTCTGCGTAGATGACTGATTTGGTCTTGCATCTATTCATTTATGCAAATAAAAAGGTCTGAATCCAGAAAGTTTCTATAGGAACAGGACTAAGGTAAAACTGTTCAGTTGAAAAGATGCAAGACAAGATATTTGTTGTGCCTTCTAATGTGACTTGCTTCAAGTTCTGTGAAAGTTTCTCTAGAGACCAAAGGTATGTGAAGAAGACTTTCTCACTCCAGTATTTATTGAAGAGAAGCAAGATACTTTGTTGATGCTGAATATATGGGGAAGAAGAATCTGTATGAATCTTCCCATAGGATTACTTTTACACTGTGGAAAGGAGATTTGAAGCTCAGTTGTAGTCTGGAGAGAAATCCCTTGGTACAGCTAAAACCTCTTTGAATGTACAAATATGCACACTGAACTGAAAGAAAGAGGTGTGGAAAACTACAGCCTTTAAGTATCTCCCCAGATAATCATGTTCTATTAAACTGTCTGCATGATAATGAGCTTACCAAACTTCCTCTCCACCTTTTTCTCATCTAGATTAATGCTTCTTGAAACTACTTTTATTCTCAATGGAGTTTACTATGTTTTGATGCTGTCCTTTACAATACTAGAAAGTTTCTAGGACATGGGAGAGGTACTGAAATGGTCAGGCATTTCTGCTTCCAAGTCATGTCCCACCAGCCCACAAAGCTTTTTAAAAGAGCAGTTAGAATGACCGATGTGATTTTGTAGTGCAGCACAGGGTCTGAAGCAGCAGTAAAGCCACAGCATGGGCTTTCCAGGCTGAGGCCTGACACTGTGAAGCATATACTGTATGTTGCCCAAAAAACAAAACAACAGACATTTGCCACCAACATTGTCAAGCTATCCTCTGTTTGAAATGGAAGCATCAATCAAAATATTAAGGGGAAAAAATGCTTGCAAAAGATGATGCTTTGCTTGTTGTGGACATTTATCATGCAGGAAAAGAAAACCATACCAGTCAGGGCACATTGCCTTGCTTATGTTTAAATGTTGAATCTAGTTTTGACTGACAGCTGCTTAACTCCAGTAACGTTTGATTTTACTAAGTATAAAATTTGTCAGCAATATTTACCAGAAAGATTTCCTTTTAAGCCATTTGAGGACATGGTTTTCTGTGCAGCCAGTCTTGTAGAAGTCATATATTTCATTGATAGTCTCCTTATCATATAAAATAAACCTATATTTCAAAAGTTTTAATGAACTAATTTAATCTCTGCCTAATTTTGCTGACAGTGTAAAAACTAGTGCAAGTTACGTATTCATAACTATAGGATTTTCACTGAGAAGCAGCAAAATGGGAGTTTTGAGATAGAAAAATATGTACAAAATTTTCCTGGTTTGTTTGTAAAATTAGGGCAATATTGTTGATTCATTAGTCTTTACAGTTCTCTAGAGATGAGCTTGACATAACTTTACAAGACTCAGAAGCATGTGGCCCTCCTTCATAAGCAAAGTGGACTTCTTTACAGTACCGTTTTTCTAACACTGACTTTTTTTCTCATTCTTTCGTTTCCCAGCTCATTTTTCTGTTACTTTCCTTTTCCTGCAAAATTTTATAGATAGAACAAGTTGTTTTATAGATAGAACAACTGTCACCTATTTTTTTCAGTGACATTATTGATTTTTGATGTATTAAACTGGCTTCTTCTATCTCTTGCAGTTGTGCCCAACCTTGCACTAGATTTCTGTAGAGGTTTTGGATCAATTTGTTTAATACTCGCACTAGTGTTAAATAGTCTACCAACTTGGCATGCAGTTTGACTTCATTATTCATCTGTCTTCTCCATTTTCCCAATAATGGAGATGAGAAAGTTAATTCATAAGAAGAGAATCTCAAAACCTCACTAACATCTCCTATGGAATAGATAATAGAAGACTTTTAGTGGAAGTTCAGTGCATAAGAGAATATTTTTATCCAAGACAATATAAATTGTTTCATTCCGCTTTTTAAATCCTGACTCTTCTTAATGCACCTTTGCACTATTTTGTCTCTTTTTCCCACTCGTCCCTCAGTGTGTAATTTATAATAATAATTTCCACTTGTGTATTGGTGCATAGCTGATATAATTGATAACACCTGTTAATTTAGTGCCTTGTTTGCGTTCTCCGCATTCCTGTTTCCCACTGGGTACACCCACATCCCATCAGGCTCATTAGGCCTCTTGATATCCTTGGACCTGTGAACACTTGCCAGTTCCCAGATTTGGGTGTGTGTCCCATATGCATCCAAACTCCCTAATGGGGTGAGACTTGGATGTGCACCAATCCAACCCACCCTTAAAAACATGACTTTCTCTGCTGAGAATTTCAGATTTCAAGCTCAACCTCTCACAGACCTTGGACAACCACCACAGCTCCAGAACAAATAGAAGGACATGACTTTTTGTTTGGGAACTCCCCATGGTATGAGATGACAAATGCTGGAAGTTTATGCAGGTGGAAACTGGATGGAAACTGGACAAGTTCATAGAAAGAAAAAATCCAGTGAAGGTTGGCTCATGAAGTCTCTGAATCTTAAACTATGAGGGCTGAGTGAGCATTATATGATGTTTGCCCTCTTATACTCTTCCTTAGACACCCATCACTAAATATGGGATACATTTACTTCTGGCACTGGTGGCCATCCTTAACAAGACCAAAGGTCCTTCCCTAAGAAAAAAAAGTCAAAGTGACTAAAGAACAAGATACTGCAGACAAACTAAATCACTAAGTGGAATTAACTAATGTAAAAGAAAAGGAAACACAGTATTAAGGGTGTAAACAAGGTAAAAGTAGGTAACTGGATGGGGAGACTGAGCTGAGTAATTTTAAGATACCATTCTCTGCTTCCTGAAAATATCCAAGATCCCTCAGTGGGCACTGCCTGTGGGCCCTAGACTAAAGGAACTTTGACTGGTGTAGTTAAAAATATTCTTCAGCATTTTCTTAGTAAGAAAATGGTATATTTGAAGCTTTTATGGATTTTTTTTATTTACTGTGCTTTTTAATTTTGGAAATGTCAAGTTTTAGATTTTCTAATAGAAGACATTAATTTGATACTATATTTTATAAAATTGTAAAGTATATTTTACATTTTTATAAAAACATTTTTTTTACAGCATTGTAGTAGCAGTTCTGCCACAGATCACTTCATGTAAAGGCCCTTGAGATCCTGAAAAGAAATATAATCAGTGAAATACATGATTGTTTGAGGGACTATGGTCCAATGTGATACTTATTGCAGGAACCTGCAGACTTCCTCTGGTGTTCTGTTCTTGTGCTGTTCTTATTGTTTCATTATTATTTATTACTTACTTCACCATGTAAGCACTTACAATTACACACCAACAGCCTATTGTTCTTGGTGCTGCATGAAATACTTTTATAAAATCAGAGGATGTGGACTTATAAAGCCCAACAAGGGGGAAAATGGGAAAGAAACAGTAAGGTTGTTTAGCAACATGTCAGCAAAGGGGTGTTTTAAGGAGGGATGTAAATGAGACTACTGATACTGCTGTGGGGATACTTGTAAGGTGCTCCACCCAGTGTGAAGGGCAGGGTGGGAGGAAGTGTGGAAGCTTTTTGTTGAAATTTAGCTATTAGAAGATTAATATTGAGTGCTCCCTGGAGACAGGAACTGATCTCCCAGGACAGAATGAATTCTGATAGTCTGACTATAAAGGGCCTTGAGAAGGAAGATGTTTATTGTCATGGAAGTAACTCCCATTTTTATTTAAAAAAAAGAATATAAAAAAGTTTTAATTATGTAAATTATCTAATATTCTGTGCTCTAGAAAACAGCAATGCTGGCCTGTCCACTTGCCTTCAGCCAGGTGTCTACTCACCTACACAGTGTGTGAGGAAGAAGAAAAATGCTTCTCTCAGCTGGTGATGTATTTTGTGACTTGGGTAGATCCAAATGCAGGGAGACCTGATCAAGATGATGGTCAGAGCAAACAGTGTTTGAGACCAGTGTCTGAGACCACATTTTGGTTCAGATTCTTTCACCACAATAAGAAAAAGAACTATACCATGACAGTAATGAAAAATCTACCCCTTAGAAATAGTGAGCAGCTAAAGGCAGTCCAAGAGGAGAGGATGCTTGAAGCTTCTGCCCCGGTTACAGGCAGGCTGGATGTTGAATCTGTTATCATCAAAAAAGGAGGTGGAATTAATTTTTTTGTTTGTTTGTTTAGCCCTCCTTGAATTTGACCTCTCTGTGAGACAGGTGAGATTTCAGCTTGAGCCAGAATTGCTGGTGCCCTACTCTTTGGGACACAACATGGTGCTGGGGCTATGGCATTTTTTAGCATGTGTCACGTTGCTGTAATGCTTTCTAATGGTAAAGCACAATTAAGATCCAGTCCTGCTATTATCCTGGAAGATAATTAGACTTTTAGCATAATAACTGGACGAAGAGACCGTGCTTTCATAAATACCTGCTGCCACACCTGCTTTTGGCAGGATATTGCCCCACAGTGATACCACAGCTGCTGCCTCAAGCATCTCTGATGGCTGGTCATGTGTCATGGCTGAGGGGAGGGACACAACAGGTCACTGTTGTGATGCTCTGCTGTCTGTATACTGTGTGAGCATAATTGCTGTAGTTAGGTGTGGTTAGGCTTACATGCCAGGGAGATGATGATTTTCTTGCACGTGGCTGGCAATGGGAGCCTTGTATGTGTACGTGGAAAGGCAGTGGGATATTGTGGCATGACCAACCAGCTTGGGCACAGGATATGCTGTGGTTTGCCATTTCTCACATCTGCTTGCACCTGGAGCTGGTCAGGCAGAGTATGGGTCTGGGGTATCAGAGATGTATAAAAAAAGGTTCCTGGGTGTTTTAAGTGCCTCCCTCATAACACCTGGAAAATACATCATGAACATGAAGTAATTAGGTTTCAGAGGACACCTGTGAAGTACAAAACATGTCACCAAACACATTTGGCAAGTGGGAAGAGGGAAGTGTGCTTGTTTAGTGGCTGGGTCAGAAGTGCCCCAGAGAAAGTCAGAGATCTAACTGAGAAGTCAGATCTCTGCTGTCTGACATGTAGTTATTTTTTATAGGTGTATGACACAGTGTAATAGCAGACACTGATCACTTACAGAAAAAAAATAATTGATGGACTTTCAAAATAGTACTTTGTTCTTTGCAACAGAGTAGTCAGAGCATGTGTTGCTATTTGGGAAGTGTCAAGGAAATAAACTTTGATTCACCTGCAGCCTTATCCATTTTGGTTCTTCTGGTCTTCTAGTAGGGACAAGAGCCAACAACAATCTGTTCTAGTATCAGTCTGGATCTCCCAAGAGCCAAAAAAGATTTTTATATGGACATTTCCTGTATATGCAGAGAATTTTGATAGCTATTAGAAGTGTTAGAAGCTCAGGTGATGTCTATGTGTTTTGATATTTTTGTAAAATTCATGTATCTTAGAATATACAACAACTACTTTCATCAGTCAAAGTTACTCTTTTTATGTTCAGAGTTAATAGTAATAATAAAAAAAGATGATTTTAGACTCAGAGGAGACAGGGTGGGGGTCAGAAAAAGGCTGGCTTTGTTAACCCTTGAGTTGCAGATGGGGAGACAATAAAGGGCCAAGACAATAATTCTGTGTTTCCCAAATCAGGTCTACCAGTAAAACTCAGTGTGACAAGACTTAAGCCTGTGCTGCTGCTATTCAGGTTTGTTTGCTATGCAATGGCAGGAATGCTGAATACATGGCATTACAAATAGAGGATATACAATTCTAATAGTGGAATTGGCATTTATGGGCAACACTCCCCATGCCGTCTTTGGCACTTGTGTAGGTTGTCATCCCTAACCAATAGACTGTGTTCTGTAGGGTGATCATCCCTCACTTCTGAATATGGGTCTACAGGATTGTTAATCTCATTATTTACATTTGTCTTTTATTTCCTAATAATGATGACAAAATATATTAGAAAGTAGATTATTCTGATCTTAGAATTAAAGTGTTTGTTGATGATATGAGCACTGCAGACTTCTCCTAATGACTGTTTCATACAAAAGCTTTGGCCCTGAAGATCCATCACTTATGACAGAGCTCAGGTGGGAAGCCAAAGCGTGCAACTGACCTCTTCAGCTGAGGAAGGAAAAAAAAAGAAGACTAAAACTGTCCTCCCTATATCTGGGAACTTTAAAATTGATAGGTGAACTTTATGACCTGAACTCACCTCCAGTGGAGGCAAAGGCAATGCAATTTTGTGCAAAGAAGCCACATCAGCTCTTTGTGCTGGGAAACACAGACAAGCTTTCACCTGCACATTTAGTGTTGCAAATACCTTCACTGTGCTGGCTAAGGCGCAGAAATGCAGAAGAAAATAGTGACATTAAGCAATATATATTTTTTATATGGTTTTACTAGTGAAACCCTGCCTCAGGACAGTTGTTTCTTAAAGCAAATGTTAGCCATCAAACTATTCAACATTTCAATGCTTTTCTTACCTGTGCTCATTCTAAACCACTTACAGGAGATTAAATTCAGTTCCTCTCATCCCCAAAGCAGTTTAATTTTTTCTTGAAATTTTTTTTCTTGAAAAATTTTTTTTTTTAAGAAAACTGTGTTGTTGAGGTCTGTCATGCGCTATGTGCCCCCTTCTTTAAATTTCCAAAAGGGAAGAAAACAGACTGAGAACCGATACCTTGATGGAAGATGTGTCTTCTGTGACAGCAATGGGGCTTCATGGGAACCTTCAATGCAAGGAGCACCTGTCCCTGCTGCATTGGCAGCCAGAGATCCTAGAAAAAAGGAAGGATGCTCCAGAAAGTAGACAAGACAGAACACAAAGCTAGAGTTGCTCTAGACATGCTGAGGCATGTTCATGCCTACCTGTGGAAGCCCAGTGTATGGGAGCTGGGCTCTGTCCATCTGGTAGCCCCTGTCACAGCTGCTAAGGTCCACGGTGCCCAGCCCTGTGATACTGCTGTGTGTACAGGCCCTTATGCATATGGATGGCTTTTCAGCAATGCAACTGCGTATTTTGAACATTTGTTATTCTTTCCAGGAATTTAGAAAATGTGATTCTCAAGAAAAGCACACTGCCAGGTTTTCTCAATAGTAAAGCAAGATGGTTGTCTACTAGTGGACCGATGGTGCTCCAGTTAGCTTGCTGGCCTGCATTCTGTGTATTGCTTTATGTACTGAGCTTAAAAATTCACACAGTGTACCATTGTGGGAATACTAGATTGTTTAATTGGTTTATTGTTTTCCTGCTTTCCCTCTCTTTAACAGTAACTCAGTCTGATTGCTATGTGAGCCTGAGCCTGCCAACAGCTTCAGTGCAGCATTTCCGCACCAAGACAGTTCAGAACAGCAAGAACCCAACATGGAATGAAACATTCCACTTCACTATTCAGAGTCAGGTTAAGGTAAGAGTGCAGATACCTCCAGCTATTCTTACCAGATATCAAATACACCCTATAGCCCTTTCACTCTGTGGGTCTTTCTGAGTTCCCTCAAAAAGTATTCACACTCTCTTACTATATCCACACTCTCTTGCTGTACCTATTTAGCTTTTGATGGCTGGGTAAGACTGTATCTGCCTACCTAGTCAATAGAGTATTTAGAGAGCAACTGCAATATTTGTATTTGTTCATTCTTGAACTTCTTTCTCAACTTTGTTCAGCTAAAATGAAATATCTGTAGCAGGTTATGTCTGTTAAACCTCTCTTACTGAATTATTTAATTAATTATTTTTTATTCCAGAACATTCTGGAGCTAAAAGTTTGTGATGAGGACAGTGTAACTCAGGATGACCATCTCCTCACTGTATTCTTTGATGTCTCCAAAATCCAGCTTGGGGAAAACATTCAGCTAAGTTTCCAGCTGAATCCACAGGTATGTATAAATTTCAAGGACAAAGAAAAGGGGGAGGAGTCAGGTGAGAATATGGTTATCTCGACTTTCCTCTACTGTGTCCCATACAAGCCCTTCTCACTGTCCATACCTGAGTATGTCCATCTGTTTCAGGGGTTCATACCTACAGCTGTTTCTGTAATTACAGCAAATTTTGGATACTGCTTCTACAGAAAGAGCTGGCCAATGTAATTGGACTTAATTGTCCTTGATGTCAAAATATCAAGAGTTTATCCAGTAGTTTTTCAGTTGTAACTGGTGGTTCTGAGCTCTGTGTTATGTTTTGCTAATACAAAAGTAATGATCTGCAGTCATAAACCCAACCCCAGTGTGGTTTTTAGCTTATTTAGAAAATGAACATAACACTTGGGAGCCAAACTATTTAAAAAATTGTGGTTTTCATCAGATCTCAATTTCGTATGGTTGGGACAACTTTATACTAAAGTTTCAAGGGCAGTGTTTAGGCCTAGAAGTACTTGAGTGAGTGTCGATTTGATTCCATACCTGTTTTGGAAAGCTGACTCTCCATGCCATATTCTCCTTAGTGCTTACACTAGGAGGGCAAGAAGATGATGGGAATTGCGTAAAAACCTCTAATGAGCAAGAAAATCTCAGGGACAAGCAATTACAAAAGACAAAGATGAGCACACAAAGAGTCTATGGGTACAAACAACCCCCAACCAAAGTGCACCCTCCAGAACACCCTGGGCTTGATAAAACCAAGTGTGCCACCATGTTAACGTGCCACTAGACCCATCTGCATGAGTGAGTGAGGGCTGGGAGAGGGTCAGAATGATTTATATGAACTGGAGAAATCTACCTTCACTCATGCTAAGGATCACTGGGGAATGTGAGAACCCAAGGGAGGAGAAAGAAAAGGGGAAATGTAAGTGGCCTGTGGAATAGTGCAGGTGGGAGCTGGGAACCCAAGACTGCCGCAGGGGGGAGCAGCTGCCAAGAGGCCCTGTAGTATGTGTTCTGTGTGTCCTGCAAAGATCTAAACTAGGAGTTTGCTAAATTAATGGATATGATGCTAGAAGTATGTGGTACTAGAAGTATGACAGATACAACATCAATAAAGTTGTGGCATATGCAGTAACAAGAGGTGGACACTGGCTTATAGAGACCCCTGAAGAGCACAGATTCCTGTAGGGTATCTTTCCTTGCAGGAAGACCAACCTGCTGTGACTGCCTGTATTTTCTTTTGCAGGGAAAAGAGGAGCTGGAGGTTGAATTCACAATGGAGAGCAGGTGCGTGAGGTGAAATAGGCAACCAAATGTAAGGTAGAGACATGATGTTACTGATACAAAACATAGTTTACGCATGCAGCCCCCTAACACTGTCACCATCTGAATAAAGCAGAGGGTAGATTTGGGTGTTCAGGAAATGCTTGTGTAGAGCATTTAATGGAGAAGGGGTGCATGACCCTGCATGATATGCATGCTTCTACACCAGGCATCCAGACATACAGGAAAGTGAGCACAGGTGCTGATGGGGGCATAGAGATGTCCCTGATGGCAACTGCTCACCAGGCTGCAAGAGGGGCATTCTTCACAGGAGGGAGTTTTAAGTTTAAAATTCTTCTTACTCCTTACTTGTGGGATCCCAGATATTTGCTTTGTCATAAGATCATGGGAAAATGATGCTTGGAATTTGTTTTAGGAATAGATTAAAAAAAATTTTTTTTCACTGTGTTTCTGTGCTGGCCGTACAGTTAATGGAGAGAATGATGTAGATCAGTCCTAGTGCTGCTGTTGATTTTTAAGGTAAATGATAGTATTTTTCACTTTTTTTATGGCATGTTGGATGAATTCACCAGCTTTTTAGCTCTGATCCCACAGGTTCAAACCAAACTATATGAGGCAATAGTGTAATTATGCCTGCAAATATTCCATCCTGGTGTAAATTTTCTTCAGTGTGTCAGGAAACAATTCTGTCTGATACAGTGAGGAGCTCCTCTGTTCAGCAGTTGTCCAGAAATTGTTTAAAGTTCAGACTCAAGCCTGTGAGAGGCAAAATAGATTGAATGTGCAGGTAGAATTTCTGATACTGTTTGTCCATGCTGCATGTACAAAGATGGACTTTTAAAGATAATGAAATAACCATTAAAGAAGAGATTAAAAAAAAAAAAGAAAAAAAAAGAAAAAGAAGAGTGTGTTGGTTTTGAATTGGTTGTTTTCCATTTTGTCTTTCAGTCCAGATCCTCCTGAAAACATTGTTACTAATGGAGTTTTAGTGGTAATTTTTATTTCATAATCCTTTTCCCTGCTGTATAAGAATGTTTATTGCAAAGCTAGCATTAAAGGAACCCGGCAGTTGCTCCATATGGTGGCATGAAGGCATTGGCCAAGAGGGCAGGATAAAGCTGATGCTGGCACTGGCTTTCCCACGCGGTCCCAGCTAGTGACTCATGCTGGGAGAGGCTGAAGCTGCGAAAACTGTGAGCTGCTGCCAGTGCTTGCCTTTGCCTAAACTGAGCTGGACTCAGGTGTGTGACATCCCTCCATCTGCCCAGGGAGAGCTTGACTGAGCATTGTTTGGAGAGCCTTCTCCTGTGGCCAGTCCTCCCCCAGGCCCTTCCAGGGCTGCTCCTCCAGGCAGGAGCAAGCATATCCTTTCTCTTTTCTCATCTCTACATGATTTGTTATTTCCCATGTGGAAGCCTGATCCCATCTCCCTAGACCTGGTAGGGGGCTCTCTACAGCCCCTTACCTCTCCCCTGAGGTGCATGCCCTGAGACCTGTGATCCAAGGGACTGGAGGAGGCAGAGCTCTACTGATAGCAAATGCCTTTATCTCTTGCCCTGGTTTTCTCTTACAGTCCCGTGAAGTTTCCTGTTTGGACGTGCAGGTTAACGGTGGGAGGATAAGGAAGGACACTATGGGTGAGCCTTTCACTGACTTAATGAGCAAATCTGGTTGCCACTTTATGATAAAAGCACTCAGTATTTTACACTTGAACACCCTCGTTTAAAATTATTTAAGGTGCAAGACAAAATCCCACTGATGCTAGTGGCCTGTGCAGGGGGTTTTAGTTGATGAAAAATATACAGATTATTCCAGAATGTCGTGTGATGAGCATGTGGTCTAATTTCCCCACAAAATATTTCCCTCTGCAATAACATCTTGCCAGATGCTTACAATTTTTTCAAAGTATTTGTTCAAGGAATTGAATTTTTTGAGTCCTAAACTCAAGCTAACTCCTGTTGTTTCTGGATTCTGAGAAAAAGGAAATGGACAGAATGAGGATTAGGCCTCTTATACCATCTAACTTCATAAAATTTCTTTAGGTATAACAATATTAAATATGCCACTAGGTGAAACACAAGACTCACAGTATATTAGCAGAGACATTTGTTGCACACTTAAAGCAGTGTATCGTTACCAAGTCAGGTCCAAACTTGTGGAACTGTGTACCTCCTACGCAACTTTCCAAACATCTTGTTCTGACATCTCCTGATGACCCCAATTCAGCACATTGCTTAAACATGTGGATGATACAGTTGTACTCAGCTGTCACAGTGAAAAAGTTTGGTAGATGTGACTGAAGATGCTTGAGTGGGATAATTCTTTTGAAGGCTGATTATATACTTTTGAGTGTGTGGATTTACAGTGTATATTTCACCTTGAACTTAGGCTGATATTCTACATAAAGACCACTTTTAATTACTTGAACAGACGTATCTGAGGCTTACTGCATGAAGACAGGAAACCACCAGGCATAATTTTTGTAAGTGCTAGGAATATTGCAAAAGAAATGTTACAGGTTGAAGGAAAGGGAAACATGATAGAGGGACTGAGATTTTACTGATTCCGGAGAGAGTTTTGCTCTGCTACAAAAAACCACGTTTTTCCCCGAAGTCTAGAATTTTCAAAACCTCTCAGCAATAAGACAGTATACAATAGTAAAATATTTTTCTGGTATTTTGAAAATTTCAGAGTGTGTGATTTTCCTCTGAAACTGTTATCAGCTGTGAATCCTTACCTAATGAATAGAGCGGTAGTCTCAGCAATCACATATATATGTAAGTGCAGCAGTGCTAAAGCTGTATGGTACGTTCTGCACACCGGCTCTAAAGCTGAAACCCTCAGATAAGTCAGTCTATTTATTTTTCCTATAATTTGGGTGTCAAAATGAAGTAATTACTTAAGAAAAACATATATTACATTACCATGGGAAGAAATTACCCCAATTTTTTGAAGAATTTAAGTTTGAAACACTTTTGCTTCAGAGAGGAAATTTGCGCTAACTGTGGATGGGTCATATGAAGGAACCCAGACCCACACACTGAGCTCCTGTCTCTGCCCGACCTCCCCGGCCAGGTTCCACTACATCAAGTACCATCAGTCGGCGCTCACCGTGGCTCTACCGCGGCGGAGGCATCTCAGCAGGGTATGTAATTGCCACTAACACACAGCTGGCTCTTTGCTGTGTATCTCTTAGGGGACCACTAAGATCTGTGTGCGGATCTGTGTATGCAGGGAATTGATAAGTGCATGTATGTAAGTGAGACAGGGGAGACTGCTTTTACTTCTTTTTTTCCCCTTTTTTCTTGTATAATAGTAACTGTCTTGTTTATTTTTTTCTCTTATCCATTTTTCCAGTCTACATCAAGTCAAAATGAAAGGGATATGAATGAGTCTGTGACTCTGCCTCTGAACTCGCTTCCTATACAAGAGAAAATAACAATAGCAGAGGTGAGAACAAGTCTTTCTTAACACAAAGTGGCCCAACACCATCAGTTTGATGGATGATTAGTCTTACAGTTCAGTGATTCATGAGGGATGAAGCAGGCTGTGAGACGTGAAGCATGCTACAGTGTAACGTGTGAATGACAGTCACTCTGCAATTGTGCAATATTTATTTTTTCTTTTGTTCTGCACGTAGTTCCAGTCATACCCTGTGTAATCTTGTTCTGAGTTTAAACTAACTTCCTCAGGACATGCCTAATTTGTATGTTCATCAACATAGTATGTAAGCTAACAGTAATGGATATGACGAGTAAGACATACATTTACAAAGGGAATACCTGAAGCAGAAGATCAAACAGGGAACATCCATATGTGTGTGGTTCAGATGTCCAGCTTTCAATGATCCTCCCAGAAAATGAAGGTTAAAATATGAGAAGCTGAGGAGCCCTAACGCCACTTAGCTTCTGTGAATGGCCTATTTCACCGCCCCGACCATTGCTGACCAGATTCTTCAGCTGTGTTGCATACTTCCAAGATAGGGAAACTCAGGCTCTAGACGGAGTGGGGGAGGGAGGCACAGGTTACACTGCTTACACTCTCTGTATTGTGATTTTCAGGACAGGACAATTGACTTGTACACAAAGGCAAGTGAATGGTAAGTGAGTCTCCAGCAAGACCTGATCCACTAACAAGGAGACATTTGCTCTTACACGCAGCTCATTTGAAATCAGCAGGGGTCTTTGCAAGTTCAGGTGTAAGCAGATATGTGAGTTCATTATTGTAGGTTTTTATTTGCCAGGTTCTCCTTTTCACATTGATGGGGATTTAAATCATCGATCCCCTTTCCTCCAAATTTCCAAGCTGCTAGTGCATCTCAGTAATAGATCTTGATTTGTGTGCGCTATTGTGCCCACAGATGGATAGAGCAGCTTTGAAAAGAAATGATTTTTCTGAATTATACAAATGACTTCAAGGCATGGTAGCTGTTTCCCTATTCAGCTGTAGTGTCTGTTGACAGTGGTTGCCAAGTTATAGGCATGTATGGCAGCAACTATTAAAACTTGAAAAAATAATTATATGAGCAAATAAAACCAGGAGTGTGTTGTTCTTTCTCATTTATTACATTATACTGTCCACAGTCTAGTCTGTAAACACACATAAGCACAGCTGGAGTTGTCCCCAATAAGAATATTTTTGCCCTGGTCACAGGACTCAGGGTCTGTGTTTCAGGCCAAGAAACCTAGATGCCCGACTGGGGTTCGACCTCTGCACTGATGAACAGAATTTCCTGCAAAACCGAAAGAAGGTGGTTGCTGCTGCACTAAAGGATGTTCTTCATCTGGAGGAAGATCTGCAAGAGCATGAGGTAACCAGGAAGGGTACTGTTGGGGGATTTTTCTCTCTCCTTTCTCTCAGGCCTGAAGATGAGGAGTGATTTTTTAGCTCCGTCTGAATGAGGGAGGACTTTTGACAGCAGCTTCTCCTCCAGGGCACTGTTTGCCACCAGAATCATCTCAACTGGAGAGTTCAGCTGTCTGTTTGGATGAGCAAAATTTCTGTTTCTAGTTGGCTTTCAACTGAATCATTTGAAGGAGCTTCAAACCAATAATTTTGGTCTGTGTTTCGTAAGAATCCTTCCTGAAGTGCCAAGATCTAATATACTCCACAGGGATGCCCTGCAACTTTATAAAGCAATGTTGCTTTATCTCTAATATATGCATTTTATTTTACTACTGTTTAGATGTTACTTTTGCATTTCTGTAATCTTTTGACATTATTTGTTCCTCAGTGCCACTTTTCCATCTATGCTTTCTCCTCTCTTTTGTCTTGAACAGGTGCCTATAGTGGCTGTGACCACAGCAGGATGTGGGATAAGAGCACTCACTGGCATGTATGGCAGCATTTTGGGCCTTCAAAAGTTGCGTGTTCTGGATTGTGTTTCATACATCAGTGGCTCATCTGGCACAACATGGTGAGGAGACATTTTGATACTGTTCCTTGGAGCTTGTTGTGTTAAGAAAAACCCATGCTTTACCTTGGTCTTGGGGTAAAGGTGGTGAATTCAGTTATTGCTTCCATCTTTGGGCTATGAATGCCAAGATCATCTACGAAAGGACTGTTGTGCATCATACATTTGGCGTCATTGAAGTAACCTATCCCTAACCAAAAGAGTAGACTTTATTGGAAAGGCAAACATCCTTAATCCTATGCAAAAATGGTGTTTTATGGTTATTTACTGTTGGACAGAAATAGCATAGACAGCTGGCGTAGATGCTTGTGTTGGATCACAGATCAAGTGATTTTTGACTAGTTGCCTTTAGACTTGCGTTTCTGCTCAAAGTAAGCTCAAAGAGGAGAGTAACTAAAAGATAAAACAGTAAGTACCCAAAGCTCTGCAAAGTGTATTTTCTGAGCTTCAAAAGGATCTTGTTCATTCCCCCCTGTTTTCCATCATGTTTCCTGCCTGCAGGACAATGACAAAGTTATATGAAGATGCCGATTGGTCACGTAAGGATCTTGGAGAAGTAATAATTGAAGCACGGAAGCAAGCAGCCAAGTGCAAGATGGGGGCTTTTTGCTTGAAAAGTCTAAGGAATTATTACAGAGAGCTGAGCCAAAGGACCCAAGCAGGACATAAAACCTCTTTCATTGATCTGTGGGGGCTCATGATTGAATCCATGTTGAATGATGGGGTAATGTCTATACATCTTTCTTCTCATAAACTTGTTGACTTAATATTTATGACTATTACAAGAAATTAAAGCCCTAGGAAGAGAACCTGGTCAATAACACTGTAGTAGGTATGTAGGCAGAATGCCACTTATTTACATTAATAATTTGGATACAGAGATTATGTCTATGCTGGAGCCTAAAGTGTGATTGAGTGTAACATAGGAATGCTCAGACTATCTCTAAAGTAACCAGCTAATTAACACTGTATCTGTTCAAGAAAATTTTAAGGTTCTTAGGTGCTTTTTATGACCCCATGTTTTTACACTAGCTGCACTCATAACTTGAATGTACTGCCGACGTACACCATATGTACAGAACTTTGTGATTTAGTGATAAGAAACTCTATAGATCCAGAGCTCCTGAGACATCTTAGCTGCCAAAACTGGGATTTTGGAGGTGCCTTTCAGCCACTTTGAATTTGATCTCTCAGGATCTCCAGTTTCTAATTTTGTTGTAATGATGCAAGAAAAACTTTCCATGTAAACTAGAAGCCTGACAGTAGATGGAGAAAAAGCTATTTTATTTTTAAATCCTGTAAACACGGTTTATATTTTGTCTAGAGGAAACAGATAAAATAAAATAATCTCATTTCATATCCTATTTCGTATTGTATTTCAAACCTCAGTGCTGCATAGCAAAATTTTCTAGAATTTAATTTGGCTGCATTATACTCAAAGTCTCCATTTCATGTATAAGTTTTTAGTATTAGACAGTTCAAGGATTTTTCCTCTGTGGACGTTCATTTTCAATATAGTATTTCAAAAAGAGCTTAGAAGGATTATTAACATGCTGCCTTGAAGAACTCTTATGATTAATAGATGAAGTATATAACTGCTGAATTACTCAGATCTGCGCTATTTGTTAACTCACATTTAAAAATGTAAAACTAGAACAGCATGTGAAGCAGCTCATTGCTGTCAGTGTATATTGAATGCAAAACATGGATGGTTATCTTAGCCAAAGTTATTCCTGCTAACATGATTTTCTTGTCCTCTGCTATTCAAGCACATGGAATTAAATTCAGGAGGAAATTGAGGAAAATCGTATGGCAGATTTTATAAGGTGATGTCTTTAAAGAACTGATAATCAGCTAACTCTTTGGGTTTTTTTTCCAGAAAAGCCACCACAGACTTTCTGATCAACGTCAGGCAGTGAATCAAGGACAGAACCCTCTGCCCATCTACCTTGCTCTGAACGTCAAGGACAAAGTTTCCACCAAAGATTTTAGAGGTAATGTTTCAATTCTGTAAAAGAGCTATATTTTCAATCAAGGAGACACACTGTGGAGATACTATAAATAACGATGAATTGTTTTAAATTCTCATTCCAAGCCAGAGAAATACTGTTCCGAAATGTAAAGAGTAACCAGGCAGCCACAGTATAGAAAGCAACAGTTCAGTATTTTGTAAGCTCTTTTGGCATGTGATTAGGTATATTAAGATGTTAACTTCAGACTAATAACACAACATAATTCTGTGACACAGTCTCAGGACTGCTAAGAATTCTTAAAGAAAGGGATTCACTGGAGCTTTATGTTTGCTTAATGTGTGTTCTTGTCCATGGCAGGAGGGTTGGAACTAGATGATCTTTAAGGTCCATTCCAACCTAAGCATTCTACGATGCTATGTTGTTAATGATTGGATAAAGGCAATAAAAGCAAGAGCAATCAATCTGTGTTCTAGTCCGCCTTTCATGAGAAACATTTGTACTTACTAGATAAAAAGAAAGAAGAATTAAAATTTTCTTTTAGTCTGGTGTTGCTCTTTCACAAACCCGTAGACAGTGAGATAGTTGGTTAAGTGGCTGTCAGCAGGGTTTACTCAGGGCGTGTGCTAAGCCAGCTTACCCACGAGACCCGACACCTGAAGGGTTTATTCCAAGACTGGCAACTGCACTATTTTTGGTAGTGGAGCTAATGTTGTTGGTGCTTTATGTTGGCAGAGTGGGTGGAGTTCACACCATACGAGGTGGGCTTCCTGAAGTATGGCGCCTTCATTCGTGCAGAGGATTTTGGCAGTGAGTTCTTCATGGGCCGCCTGATGAAGAAGCTCCCTGAGTCCTCGAATCTGTTTCATGCAAGGTGACTCACATGCCTGGGGGAGTGGCAAGATTTTAATGCAAACACCAGGGATTTGGGAAATTAGTCCCCATAAATCCATTGTTACGCACGTGGAAGCACAGGTACTGGATCAGTCAGCTGACAGACTCCTCAGGGAAGTGGTCACAGAACCAAGCCTGACAGAGTTCAAGATAAGTTTGGCCATTGTTATCAGGTAATTTTTAGGGTTGTCCTGTGCAGGGCCAGGAGTTGGATTTGATGATCTTTGTGGATCCCCTCCAACTCAGGATATTCTAAATTCTCTGTTTCCTGAGACTCATTCAACTGCCTTGCTATCAAAGGTGGTTTTATTGTGTGGACTATGATAAAATGAAACTAAAATTACAAATAAATTGTCATGTACCTTTGTGAGTGCTTTTGAGGCATCACTATTTTCCATAGCTTGCAAAAAATTTTCAAATTTGGAAATGTATGAGATTTTGTGGAAGCTAATGGAAATGTTAAAAAGAAAAAAAATGGAGCAAGAAAGAGGGGAATCAGAGAAGGAGCTGGCTGAAAATATTCCTTTATCAGCAGAAAAATGAAAATGAAAACAGGAAAATGACAATGTAAAATTAAAAAAAAAAATGTTGTGGGTAAAACATACTAGGAGGGAAAAGATTTTGAATTTCTTTCTGAAATATGTTTACCTTTGGAGTTAGACCTATCACTGAAATAGATGTCTGGACTTTTGCAAAAATTGCATAGAAATATGAAAAAGTTACAGAAGAGCTGTGGAAGGAAGAGAAGGCAGTTTTTAAAAGAACTTCTTTGTGTTTACCTCAACACTACTTATTATGCCTCTCCCACTTTGTAGGAATGTGGAGCAGTATATTCTCAAAAAACCTCTTGGATGCCTGGCATGCAGCTGACAATTCAGAGGACTTCTGGCACAGGTGGACCCAAGACAAAGTGACCGAAATTGGTAAATCAAAGTATCCTCCTCTAGGCCCCTCTAATAGGGTAACTGCACTCACATTTCTCATTTTTTGCATTTTTCTGTCATCCTAGTGCTCTCAGTCTCTGGGTATGGGACACACCAGAAAAATCAAGTGATTTGATTTTACTGGAATAGCCAGTGTTTTGCTTGAGATTGTGATAAGAAGGAAAGGTACCATCAGACAATGGAAAGGAAATAGGGATGGATACATAAGGTGGTCCCTGAAGTGTTGTGTTTAAAAGAAATACTTCTGTCAAAGCCTTGTGTCATCTATTTTTTCACCAGAGAGAAGCTTGAGTGTTTCTGTTTCAACATCTATTTGCCCTACACAGCACATCCCTCCCTCAAAATCTAAATAAACCGAAAGACTTAGTAGAGGTCAAATGAAGTCAGTGTAGTGGAGCTCTGTTACACCAGCTGAGAGACCATTTCTTGACAATACTCATGAGCATCTTCATGTTAAAATTCAAGCGTAGCCAGTGAACAAACTTAGGCCCGTTTCTGTGGACCATGTTTTCAGAAAATACCTCCAAACTCTTATGTTTGGATATATGTAAATAATTTGCAATTTTCTGTTGAAATCAGCTGTCCACACTTGAACAAACTGTGTTTTTAAAAGTAAAAATACTCAGTTTGAAAGTAAAATGCTAAAAGTTTTCTATTCTTTTCAAAATAAGCTTTGAATTTCATATTTAACCTACATTAAATTTGAAAGCAGTAATACCCTTAAATGTATAATTATTTTCCCTGTTTGTTGTTTACTTGGAAAAGAGAATTACCTCAATGTGTACCAAAATGGTATTATTTTATGAGGAAAATGTTCCTCTAGTCATATGTAGCCAATCAGGATTTAGAAAACACAAATAAGTTCGCATTTTTGTCAAGAAATTAAGCAGAACTCACAGCAGATCACAGGGAAAAATACTGCAATGCCAAGAGATGGGAACACATGATTACCATTGGTACAGCAGACTTGTTCTCCTCTTTGTGTCTAGCCTCTTCTTATTTCTGGTTATAATTCAGTTGCATGTCATTTATGCTGTGTATCTCTAGAGGAACAACCAGACTTGCCCGAGAAGCCCTATGAGATGGCCACGTGCGTTTTCACTCCTACAAGCGGCCTCTCCACAACTCTCCGGGATATCCTGACGGATCGCCCTGCTGTCTCCAAGTACCACAACTTCCTAAGGGGCCTGCAGATGCACAATGAGTATATCCAGCATGAACATTTCACAAAATGGAAAGGTGTGGACACCTCTCCTGCCTACATGTCTCAGCAGTCATCGTGGCAGGTGCAGGGGCTGGGAACTAGCCAGGGATGTTTGTATGTCCTGAAGAGAACTGAATGGGGTTTATGGTTAGCTGTTAGTGTTTACTGAGAGGAGGGAGAACTAAGTAACTCCTCACATCTTTCACTTTCGGTAATATAGCTGTTCAATTTTTGGGTCGTTTTGGTACTGGAAGTCTCACTGGGATGAAAAATGCTAGTTTGGGGTTCTGCACATAGGCAACATCTGCCTAGGTTTTGGTGCAGTTCATGGGTTTAGAAACACTAACAAAATGTGAGTGGAGAGGCTGAAGGAGCTTTAGGATTGCTATTTGCTACCCTAAAGTAAAGGGAAGATTCTGGATGGGAGGGAAGCTCACCTTCCTTTTGCTTTCTAACTTAACGGATGTCTCTGCAGTTTGCTAACAGCTCTGAATCTTCTACTCTTTAGACACTTTGCTAGACACCTCTCCTAATGACCTGAGAGGCAACTCAGAACACCTGGAGCTGGTGGATGCAGCTTTCTTCTTCGAAACCAGTTACCCACCCCTTATGAGACCAGAGCGGAAAGTGGATGTCATCATACACTTAAATTACACAGGTGGATCACAGACTTTGGTGAGAAGTCTCAAAGCTGTTTTTGCTTAGAAACAGCTTTTCCTTCGTTTTTCTCAACTTTTAGGCAGATGTCTATGAAATGTGGATTTTAGTTGAATTTAGTAACATGCTCTTTGTAAACCTTAAAAGAGGAACGTAAATGTATAGAGAGGAAAATATCACTATTTTTCCCAAACTACTTTTGAAATAACCCCTAAGTGCTTCACCAGTGAAATATAGAGCAGCACAGTGAAGTTATAAAGGTCAAGCTGCAACTTGTATTATAGTTATATGTAAGATTTAATAACACAAATATAGCTGAAAAACTTAGTGATTTGGACACTGAATTTAATCTGTATTTTGCTTAAGCATGTAAAATTTTATTTGTTTTTCATATTGATGTGTGATTTTTTAGCTGTCCAGGAACAACCTAGTTAGTGAAGAATTTCTTCATCTTTATTTTTTTCTCTTTTAACAAATACAGTTCTTCTCCCTAAATAGTGGACTTAAAACAAGATATCAAATGCATTTACTGTGTTAGCAGGAATCTGATTTGGTTAAAATGGTTACATAGATTTTGAAAGTGATATTCACCACTTAAATGGACAGATTTAGACTTCAAAATATAGACTTGTAATTGTAAACTGACCCTGAGGGACATCACTGAAAACACAAATTTCACTGGTTAAGGTTCTGTCATTTTTTCAAGTGAAGGAGACTTTAATGGTGCTCTTACACTGTGAAGCCACGTAAACAATACTTATCTCTGTACTGCAGCTGAAAAAAAAATATATTGCACTATATTTTTTCTTGTACTAAGAATTCTTTTGGAAATACATAATTCAAACTGAGGGGATACTTTTTTGCTAGATAATTTAAAAAAGTTGGTCATCACAAATGAGCTTTCTGATGAATGTTTTTACTGCTATATTTTGAGGTCTAAAATATGTTAGCTTGAAATCTCATGTTATTTCTGAAATTCAGGGTTATAGAAATGGGTAGGTTGATCTCAAAATCCTGTTTAAGTCTACTGAGGTCAATGGACAAGTTCTACTGCTATATAAACAGGTAATGTGACTGTGAATCTTACTGTCTTGGACTGCAAATTTAGTTAAGGCTATTTCCAAATAGGTCCTCAGGTAACAGAAAAGCAGTCCCTGGGGCTGCAGGTGCTCACATTATTGCTGGTTGTCCAGTGCTCTCAGTCTGTTTTGTGCAATTGGGCATGAATTACTGGGCTTTGACAGCAGTCTGATCTTGGGTGTCTTTTCTGTTCCTTATGCTGCTGCTGTTGGGCCATGACCAGCCCCTGGAGCAAGCTTGCGCATACTTTGCAGAGCAGGGAATTCCGTTTCCCTGCATTGGACTGAAGGATGATGAGAAGAACCTGAAGGAGTGTTACATGTTTGATGGTGCAGACACCCCTGGAGCTCCTCTGCTGCTTTATTTTCCATTAGTGAATGATACCTTTCAAAGATATGTAACACCTGGTAAGTTAACAGTACCCAAATAATTTTAATGACTCGGGGAGCTTTCTCACTCCTGGGTGTTTTTTAACTCATTCCAATACAAAAATCCTTTGTTTGCTTGTTCCTAGTAGCGATTATACTGCAAAATGGGATGATTCAAACTGTTTGCAAAATCTGGGGAGATCTTGTGCATAATTTTAGTTTGAGTCTTGGTGTAATTCAGTGAAAGAAGAAATGTGTTCCTCAATTAAAGGAATGGAAACTACTTTTTCCTTGTAATTTCCAAATGTTTATTTTAATGTGTAGAACAAAGCATATTTTTCAGATTATATATTTTTATGACAGTCAGATCTAGGGGACAATCACAGTATAGAATGGTTCTGTGGAGGACCCCTTTGCTTTTTGTTTAGGCCATTTAATGTGTTGGTTGAATATGCTGGAAAATCAAAGCAATAGTACATAAAGTGATATGTACTGTGTCCTTCTGGGCGACTATTTGAGACATTGCTTTTATGAGGATTTCCAAGACTACTAATATTCTGCTTTCTCCTGTCCTGTTGTGATGTATATCTCTTTATTCCTTTTAGTTTATATTGGGCTCAAGAACATGCAGGTATGACTTGAGCACTAGTGATCACATAAAATGATGTGCCGTGAGCTGGCCAGTAGAAGGTGCTGATTGCAACAGAATGATGTTTAGTAACACCATTGTTTGTGTTTTTTCATTCCAATAGGATTTATTCAAAAGTAGATTTTTTAGAGATCATAGCACTGCACTTAGAGTAATTGCACCTGTGATCTCTCCTAATTATTCTTGATGCATTCTATCAGAGTATGGTATTTCTATGGGACTGTACAAACACATTCCTTTTTTCCCTTGACAGGCATGGCACGTACTGCTGCTGAAATGGAACAGGGCAAGGTTGATATCTCCAGTTTCTCCTCTCCATACTCAACCAGAGAGGTCTCACTGAAAGCGGAAGATTTCAACAAGCTCCTGAAACTGACTAATTACAACATCATGAATAATGAGAACATGATTCTTCAGGCCTTGCGCATGGCTGTGGCACGGAAGAAACAAGCCCTTAGCCAGACAGTATCACAAGAACAACCCTCTACTTGAACAGCATTTTCCTTTCCCTTACTGAATATTTACCATGACAGTACATATGATAGCTACTTCACTGTTCTTGACAGGGGCCATCTCCTTCTGAGTAAACTTCTCAAAAATGAAAACTTGAAGTATTTGTTTCCATGCCATGTAGTTTAATTTACTAAGCAGTACCTGCTTTCTGATCTGGAGCTGTGGTATCAAACACAGCACTCTGTGTTGTTAACCCCATCTCACTGTGATGTTCAAGAGGCAAAAATCCAGCTGTGTGATAGGGAAATAGCTTAGCATTCTCTATTGTCAACCTCCTATTGTCTTGGTGGCTAGTTGCTAATATTTTTTCATATGCAAAATATTCTAGCACTTCATTGGGACTATTGGTAGCAAATCCATAAAGCCCTCTTTAGACACAGAAGGTGGTGACCATGAAGTTTCAATTGAAATAATTTTACTTGATTTCAATAACTTGAATTAAATGACCTTCTGCCTTTAAAGAATTTTGTTTTCCAGGTGCTTTTTGTCATGAACTGTTGTGAAATAAATATTTTATTTGATTTTTTCAAATTTGTGTTAGATAATGGAGGTACAGATCCGTGGCCCTTTAGGTCTTTGATGACATCTGTTCTTAGCAGTTAAATCAAACTTACAGTTTTGTCTTGAAGGAGCACTGCCATTTCTGCTCACAATCAAATGCGTTCTGTCCCAGATCACATGTGTGTTCTGCAGTTATCTCCTTGAAATGCAATTTTGATTCGGCATCATCTGGAGCTTGTTCAATACAGTGAATTGAACTATTATCAAAAGAGATAGTATGTAAAAGGGATTGCAGGGTGTATGATAATTACACAAAGAGAACCATACTGGAGAAATGCAGTAAGACACCAATATTCTATTTGCTTCATCCCAGTACATCACACAAACACACTAAAGGCCAAGAAAGTATGGCAGAGAGAGATGTGTAGCTTCTGTTTTTAGTGTGAATTCTTCCTTGGAGGTAACTCGAGAAAGAGAGGTGTTCTTTTCTGGAACTGGAGCTGGTTAAAAAGTTGTTTTTTGCTGTCTTTTTGGTAATAGTCCTACAGAACCACTGTGAAAGAAAGGCAGATTCTGGCATCTGAGAGTTTGTCAAAGGTCAGCCAAGATGAGACTTAAAAGAGTCCCTAAACTCCTTGTAGAACTTGGCCTAAAATGAGTAGGCAAGAGCTACAGAAGTCTCTTCTCTCCACAAATTTTCCAATAAGGTACATAGACAATTTCAACCTTATCTTCTAAAATTCCATTCATTTTTTTTTTATCTGAGCTGCCACTCATGAGCTCAAAATAAGGTACCTGAACTGTCAAAATGGGCATCATGACTGACTCCTTAATGCCTGCCATAGAGGGTATCACCATATTTACCAAAGTTCTCCTGTTATTGCAAAGATCTGGGTATTCCATCTGCTTTTCCAAGTCTTCAGGTTCCTTGAGGTACTCTGGTGCAATTTCACTTTGAGCTGTTTTTCCCTGTTGGGGATATTTTTGTCAGGATTAGATACTCTGCTTGACTTTGCCTGTGGACTTTTTGATAGTAAATGGTGAGCACCTGATCCTTCCTGGTTTTACCAGCCTCAGACTGGTCAGAAAACCTGTATATTTGAGACAATGAAAACAGTTCTCTGAGGATTCCTTGAACAGCCTGCTCCACCTTCTGTATGTCACTTTTCAGAGTTTGTGATGCACCCTAAAAGCTCAGGTAATTTGAACTAAACCAGAAACTGTATCTTCTCAGAGGCTGAGGTGGTGTTTCATATGTTCACACTAGATGTTTTGTCCCAAGTCCTGTTCTGGGACTACTAGTAGATTCTCTTCAAGCAGAGGCACTTGACAGCCAGTGTCTGGGAGGGGCTTCCTCCAGCTCCATGCTCCCTCCAGCACATACTCTGGAGGAAACCCCTTGGGTAGGAGAGGTGACAGAGGCCTAGAGATTGGTCCTCCATTTTCTTTCATTGAGTTATCCCAGAAGTGGTTGTTTCTCAGATGATTTGGGGTGACACAGTCATTCCCTACCTCAACTGAACACTCCTATACTCAGTTTGCATGGCCAGGTTTTGGTAGCAGTGGGGCTACAGGGTTTACCTCTGTGAGTAGCAGCCAGAAGCTTCCCCCATGTCTGACAGAGCCAAAGCCATCTGGCTACAAGGTTGACTCACTGCTGGCCAAAGCTGAGCCCATCAGTGACAGTTGTAGTGCCTCTGGGATAAGGTTTTTAAGAAGGGGGAAAATGCTGTGCAGCATCAATTGCAGTCAGAGGAATGAGAAATGTGAGAAACAGCCCTGCAGATATGAAGGTTAGTGAAGAAGGAGGGAGGACGTGCTCCAGGCTTCAGAGCTGAGGTTCACCTGATGTCTGTGCTGAGCAGTTGTTAACTATATAACCAGTTGTTAAATGACCATGGAGAGTCAGTCTGTCCCACTCTGGCCCATGGAAGTCCGTGGTGGAGCAGATGTTTACCTGCAAGCCCTGGGGAATCCCATGCTGGAGCAAGTGAGTGCCTGAAGGAGGCTGTGACACCGTGGGAAGCCTGTTGTAGAGCAGGTCCTGGAAGGACCTCTAGACCCAGGGAGGGAGGAGCCTACACTGGAGCAGGTTTTCTGGCAGGGACCCATGCTGGAGCAGTCTGTTTCTGAAGGTCTGCACCTCATGGAAGGGACCCACACTGGAGCAGTTTGCAAAGAACTGCAGCCTGTGAGAAGGACTTAATTTGGAGAAGTTCATAGAGGACTATCTTGCATGGGAGAGGTCCCATGCTGGAGAAGGGAAACAGTGTGAGGAGTCCTTCCACTGAGGATGAAGGAGCTGCAGAGATCATGTGTCATGACCTAACCACAGCCCTCATTTCCTGTCCCCATGAACTGCTGGGATGGAGGAGGTAGAGCAAATCAGGAGTAAACCTGGGAAGAAGAGAGTTGTGCGGGAGAGGTGTTTTATGATTTAAGTTTTATTTCTCATTATCCTACTCTGATAGGATTGGTAATAAATTAAACTAATTTCCCCAGGTTGGGCCTGCTTTGCACATGATGGTAATTGGTGAATGATCTCTCCCTGCCCTTATCTCAACCCATGAGCCTTTCATCAAGTTTGCATTGTTTTCTCTTCCTTGTCTAGCTGAAAAGGGGGTGTGATAGATATGTGTTGGTGAGCACCATATCTTCTCAGTGTTTATTAGAGTTGTTGCATTTTGTTCTGGTTTGTTTTGGTTTTGGTTGTGGGAGTTTTTTGTTTGCATTGTGTGCTGTTTTTGTTGTCGGTGCAGTTTTGTGTGTGTGTTTTGTTGGATTTTTTTTTTTTTTGGGGGGGGGGCATTTGCTTGTTGTTTTTTTGTTTTTTACCTATGGGATAAACATCATCTTCCAGAGTCTCTCTCAGTGCTACAACAGCCCTTCATCCCTGAGTCAGACTTTCCCAGAGGAATGGCTCAGGAAACATCAGTTCAGCTGCTGCAGAACAGACTAATAAAACAGGTGCTCTTTTCCGCTCATCATCTTCATGGACCTTCTGTGGACTCACTCCAACAGGTTCATCCATGATATTTTTGTTTGCTGATTAGGGTGCTGTAGAACTGGTTTCCTCCAGCCTACATATAGCCACTATTATCTTCTCTGGTCCATTAATTGCTTAGGCTACCAAGTCATAGGTATCCATGCATAAGTTATGTGTCATTGCTCCCTTATCTTGAACTGCTGATAACTCCTGGCACCTTGGTGTGTACAGCCTTCCCCAAACACACACCTCTGGTATTTGGCTATCAAATAAACTCAGCAAATTCCCTCCCCTTCTCTCTTCATACTTTCCCTTGCAGGCAATGAGGAAGGCGGAGCATGGATAAACCACTTGCTGCTCCCCAGGTGCCTCCTTCAAGTTTGCAGAGGTACTTCATGAATCATTGCCAGCTGTTGCCTTTAACAGTGAAGTGATATCTGTATCTGACTTTTATGCAGCTGGGAGCAGGATGGGCTCATACTGGAGTGCTTGTGAGGTAAGAATACAAAAGCTCTTGAGAACTGAACATGGCCTGAGGTGGGTGTGGCTGGGATTGTGGCACCTACAAGAGGATTTGTGAGCTTTTAGTCCAATTACTGGTGAGCTTTTAGTCCAATTTCATGTATGTATTTACCTATTTCTATCAGGGTGACTGATACCTTTGCTGATATCAGCTGTCCTGTGGAGGCACTCTTGGTAGTGAAGTTCAGCCACAGTGTGTGATTCACGTGGAGGCAGGGAAGCAGTCTGAGGTGCCTCAGAGGAGCCTACGGTAGATTTGGGCTGAATCTGTGGTTTGATTCAAATCTTTCACAGTGCAGTGTCTGTCAGCTATGAGTATAAACACACGTGGTGTCCAGGTAACTGTGCTAGCAGCCACCTGATTGTGATGTACACAGGAAGGTTACTGCCTAAAACCAATGATTAATCATGGACACAAAGGTGATGATCGTAGTTTGATATTTGTGTGTGATTGACAGAAGAAAAAAATCTTGATCTGTTTTGTCCATAATGTCTGAGAAGGTTTTGTTTCCTAGGGGGAGGGAGGGGTAGGGGTTTTTAGATTTTTTGTGTGTGTGCGTGTGTTTCTTTTTGTGTGGGTTTGGGGGGGGGGGTTTGTGTGTTTTTGTGGTTTTTGTTTTTTGTGTGCTTTTTGGGGGTTTTGTTTTGGTTTTGTGTGGGTTTGGGTTTTTGTGTGTGTGTGATTTTTTTGGTTGTTGGTTTGTTTGGTTTTTTTTTTGGTGGAACATAACCAGGAGGGAAAGCCCTAAAATGGTCCATTGGGTTCTAGTGAGTGAACATTCTCTGTTCTCTTCTCAGCTCTGAAACTAAAATTAGCCTCTGGTTTGCCTATGAGCAAGTTATTTAATCATGCTGTGACCCCTGGTTGTAAAAGGGAGTTTATAGAGTTTCTCTCCATAACATAGAGGTGTGTTAACAGAAATATGGACTGATGCTTGGAGACCTCAAATGTGGGATCCCTTTGACTTAAGAAATAACATGTGTGAATGTCTAACCAAACTGGCTAAAGAAACACTAAAGAGCTACAAGTTTATCCTTTAGAACAGAGCCTGTCTTTGCAGGGAAAGTATGCATAGAAAACAAGGAAGGACACTGAAACCTCTCTTTTCTTTCTGTTGCCCTTAATGACTGAAACAGCATCATGAGAGAGAATAAAAATAAAGGGTCCTTGGTGAGGGAAGGGACAGGAGATTTATTTCATCCAGAACCTGAATCCAGATAGAAGACATTAAAACATGGCTTTCTGTTTTGGAGTTAGATGTAAAATACAGACCAAGGTCAGCTTCAAGAATGATAGGAGGATTTGTATCCAGCTTCTCAGCTGGATCAATTCCTAACTGGAAAAAGGAGTGACACAATGCCCCTAAAAGGATTTAAAGGAATCATTTTGCTAGCAATGAATTGAAGAAGGATTAGGTAATTCTTCCAGTGAGCAACAACTGAAATTTCAGGTATTAAAATCTGCAAGAATTAATAATTTGTTTGAGTCATGTCTAGTTATTTGTCCTTCCTTCTCTGCTTGATGTTTCAGCTAGTGATACTTACTGCAAATATCTGTCACCTAGTTTGGGCAGGGAAGTTTCCTTAGCACCTCTTCCAAAGCTGCTTTCGTTAGCTTCTTTTTGTATAAGTTCTACTGTGCTTGTGCTGGTGGTGCCTCGCTCATTTAACTAGTACCATTTTCTTCTGGGGTCATGATGCTTATGAACATAGATAAGACATTGAAATCAGCAGCATTGTGATTAAACGTTTTACCACAGATTGTTTCTGTGCAATCCTTTGTATCTCTTGTTTCCCTCTTCCTGGTCACAAAAGCTGAACTCCTCACAACCTGTAATGTATTTTCTCTTCACCATTTCTGGGAAACAATCCTGATAAAGATTTTAAATGGAAACTTGGAATTTTTACTAAATAAAATTATCTGAAGAAAGTATATTTTCCATGTGAAATTACAACTGTTTAAGAGAATTAAATTTATTTTATCTTTATCTACAAATGTTTGATGGATGTGATTCTCATGCACGCTAACTTGTGGTGGAGCCCAGCTGGTTCTGGGCTCTCTGTAAACTGAGATACTGAAGATGGAACTTCTTACACCTGGCAGAGGGTTTACCAGGGACAATAGAACTGTAACACAGAGTGGGTTTCCTATTAGGAATACTAACCTATTGTGTTAAGACATGTGGCTGTGTGTCCAATCATGAGTTGTTATCATAACACTATCATGTTATGATAGTGGTAAACCAATGCTGTGTGTACATGTGTCACCCAGAACTGTATAAAGGTAGCTGTACTGTTGCAATAAAAAAGCTGCTGGTATCCTGAAACCTATGTCACCTCCTGCCTCGACCGCGACACTGACTCTTTACTGGCTTATTTTTCCAGCTTAATTGTTGATAAAGATTTCTTTTAAATTAACATTTTCTGTTATATAAGCCAAACATTTTGTAAAACCATTTCACTGTGCTATCCATTTTACTATTATTTCTTCTATCAATGACTTATATATACACAGGTGAATATCTCCTAATTTTTTCCATTTTTTTTTAACTCTACATAGACATGATTTTAACGTCCAAAGCAATGCAAACAGTTTATCTTCCAACTTTGCTACGTGGCTTTAAAAATTGCAAAAGGCACTTATGGGAGGGCATGTTATATGAAGCGTAAGCAATTTAATATTACTGCAGGTATTAACTTTATCACTTTTCTGCAGAGTGATGAATGCCCGTGCAGTTCATTCTTCGTGAAAATCGTAAGAATGAAAAATCTGAGAAAAACAGATCTACGTGAGTATTACAATCTTTCTTTGCAGTTGCCAGTAATTCAGTTCTGAAAGCAGAGAACATAAACAAGCACTGTAACTGGTATCTGTGTATGAAGAGACACCATGGCTTTAAATATTGATGCATGTGGACTATGCTTAGAATACAGTTTTGGATAAACAATATCTGTTGGTTTATAGAATGCTACCATTAGTGGATAGCAAAGGTGTACTGTGAAGTACCTTAACTACTAACAAGGTTTAGAGCAAGTTTTGATGAACAAATTCAAGTGTTAATTTCAGTTGCAGTTTTTGAATTTCCTTTTACTTCTTTAAAAAAAGGTAAAAGAAGCATTATATAGCCTATTGTCAAACAATATTTTTTTTCTGTCAAAACTTTACTGGAATGTATTTGAAGTAGACTTTTCAGGATAAATAAGTGCCATTAAAATGTTTCTGAAGACTTGGTGGAATGGGTGAAAGAGGAAGAGAGGAGAAAAGTCTTAGCAGTTACTCAGGAGAAAGTGAGCTGAAGATTAACCCAAATATCTGCCTCAGAAGGGAAGGACAAGACAGGAACACAATAGAAAGGAAGTGAATATGAACCTTTGCATGTTAAATAATACCAACTGAACACATCAAAGATATTTATCTCCATGGAGATTACTATTCATTTGTTGCTTTCCTGCCATTGAGCCTAGCACAGGGATATTGCCTTTTCTTGAAAACAGCACATCTTCAGAGAAAAGTGAAAGGACAGTTCAATTTCCTCACTTTCTTTTTAATCTCAAATGAACTGCTTTCTGGCATAAATGGTAACAAGGGAATACCTAAGTTGCCCTGACAGCCAATAGCATCAAGATAACCACCTGCAGAGCTGATAACCAACTATCTGCCTCTGGACTTAAAATTATGGAGAGTTATCTCTTTCTCAGCATTTTATAGTGTTTGGAAATTATGCTCTTTACATTCTTAAGGACAAAAGATCTTTCAGAAATCCATAACTATTTATCTTAGCTCTTTATCTTTTATTAGTCCTTATCCCATATCTTCATTTTGAGCAGATACTTGTTCACCTAATTTCAAGTTTGAAGCTCTATCACTGGAGATTTGCTTCCAAAGCCAGATGGAAAGGAAGGTCTTTGCTATCAAGAGCCAGAAGAAGCAGTGCTAGGTGACAGGATCTGTGAAGATCTGCTTCATCCATTCCCCATCCCAGTTGCCTTTCTTTATTGTGCAACAGAGCACCACATTTTATTTTTCTCTGAGAATCAGGAGAAAATTACCTGTGTCACAGCAGAGTCAGTGAGTATCAGTGGTGTGATACACAGCAAAAGAAATGAGACTCTTAAAAAGCATTATATTGAATGAGAAAACCACTGTGAGAGCGTAGTAGAATTCTTATGTGGCAATGCTTCTGTTCTTGACAAAAAAATTTTACAGCGAGTTTTCAACACCTGAACTATGAGAGAAGTCCTCAGAGGAAGAGATACAAAGGCATCTGTTCAAAAAATGTCATGGAAGAGAGAGGTATTGACATGTACAGCAAAGCTCACTTCGTAGTCTGTACAAAATTCAGAGTGGTTTAGGCTGAAGTGCATTTATGGGCAGCATGACAAGTGGAGACTGAAGGGATAGTGAGGAATTCTAAACTATGCATTTCATTGCATATGAATAGTTGCTTGAACGTAGCAACAATAATTTAAGAAGAAAGCAGAGATAACTAGTTAGGCCTACTTGTCTTTGTTTCTGCAGAGAAATAGCAGTTTATCTGCAGATATTTAGTTTCCCAGAATTAGTCTTTGCTCAACAGTGACTTTTTAAAAATATTTTTGTGGGAATGTATTTGTCATGTAATTAATGCATTTGTTAAAATATTTGCAAATACTTAGAATATGTTTGGCTCAAAATATTTTGGGAAAAAACCATATTTCCCACTCACATTTATTTGTTTTAATCACTATTTCTGTACGATTTTAGTTGTTAAGAGAGACAGAGATGACAACAGAGAGTTGAAAGATGGCCCAGAAATAATTCCAGTTGCAAAGAGCCATTGGTGCTTTGTTGAAGTCAGAGTCTGATTAGAGCAAGCTGTTTTTTGGAAGACTGCCTGTCAAAGATGAGTATGCTTTGCTTTTCTTTAGCTGTGGCACTGGACAGGCAATGTGTCCTCCTTGTGCAGAGGACTGCTACCCACAGCCCACAACGCCCAAGTAACATAGGATTTGGTTTTTTTATTATAGGTTAGGTGTGGCAATCATCCATAACCATGATTTCTTGACCTTTTCTCTTTGTGTCAGACAAAAAACTGTATTTGTACATGGTGTAAGAAAAAGTATTAGGCTGCTAATAAGCATTTAAGTCTGTTAGGAATAAGGCTTACTCATGAACCAGAAGGATTTGCTCCCACATTATATAGACTATCAGGTAACTACAATCTGAGTAGTACATATCATTCCTAAGACATAGCTGTTGCAATTTCTAAGAATGTTTGAGTTTGACTAAATTTTTCTTGTGAAAATTTATAAGAATAATGATATCAGACCAGTCCAAAGTTTCATCTGGATCAACAATATGTCCTCACAAATGGCTTATAATAAATGCTTTTGGGTAGGATGAATGCTGAACCATGCTTTTAGCTGGCCCACTCTCCCAAGATATTTGTGGTTCATGAGGTCTGTGGCTTAGAGATCTGGCTCTTGAGTCAAAAGTAGTGTTTGCATTTGATTGTCATACCCCAAATTATTGGCTCCTGGAGGCCACTAAGAGGTCTTACTTTGACACCTTTCATCTCCCTTTGCACTAGACAGGAACCCAGATACTCTTTTTCAGTGTCACAGGAAAACACGGAGCCCAGTTTCAGGATGTTATTCTTTGGGGAGGTCTATATAATTATGTTGCTAATTAGATAGTTACAGACATTTCTTTTTTTCTCTTCTTTCCTTGCACAGGCAGCAGAAATGCCTATTTGAGAAAAACTGATCCTTTTCAGGCTGGGGTGAAAAGCCCTTTTTTGCATATTAGATAGGTTAGCTCTTACACTAGGGCAACTTCCCTTTTGTATTTATTCCAAATATAGCAGAATACTTAACAGCTATATGACTGCCTCTATCTCTGGATCTAAAACAGAGAAAGTTTAATGGTGGTCATAAATCTTCATAAATGCACCCACTATTTCTTCAAAATCAGCTGGAGGAAGCTATTTTGCTGCAACTTTTCAACAGGGCTAGTTTGAGACACCAGCAACATTGGGAGCCAGTGGCAGCATCAGCTGCAAAAGTCACAAGCTGAGGTGCCTGGGCTCTTCATATTCCTGCACCCTCGTTGCAGTGCACAGGGACACAAGAAAAGCTGTTTTCCAAACGCTTGTCCATCAGACAAGATCACTGGAAGAGGCCATAGCTTTCGTTTTCAAGTCCCCCTCCCAGTTTCTTCAAACCAACGTTATGCGTTTTGCTACATTTCCACCGTTTACCCATGGCAGTTACTTTCTGGAGAGACTTCTCAGGTAGTCAAGTACCACTCCATTTCACCCCCTGTGTGGTGCTTATAACGAGAACTAGACCCTAACCCTAACCCCAGCTGAGCTGTGTAAATTCCCCAGAGTGGATCTTGTTTTCAGCGTGGCTGTCCAGACCTGCCTTGTGCACAGTCCCATTGAAGCACACCCGGCACTCACTGATCTCAGAGATTGCCACTGCAGTCACAGCAGGGCATGGGCGGTCTCGCACAGCTGGCAAATCTGGTTTTTCATGGCCCTTGTCTTGGTGGCAGTGTTCACTGCTCTTCCAGGAGGGAAAATAAATAACTTCTACACTGCAAACTGATACATATGGGAGAGAAACCTGTCTTTTTCATGGGCTACAAATAAAATATAACATTAACCTCTTCTACATACATGTATTTCACAGAAATATTCCATTTAGGAGACAAAAAATGTCTTTGTAAATAGTGGCTTGTCCTACTTGGTATTTAGCAAAGTCCAAGACGGCAAAAAGCTTTTCACAGAATGACCTACAGTTACTTTTGCTGGTTTGTTGTTGATTTTTTGACAAGCTAATCTCAATCAGCATTCTCATTGATAAAGCCTTAAGCTTCTCTTTAGCTTTAGTATTAAATCTGGGCCTGTTGCAATGTCATTTAATAACAAACTCCCAATGCTATACTGCCTATTGGTTTTAAAAGTTGGAAGGCAGTATTACCAATGTTTTTCTTTGTATCACCTAAATCGCGTGTAACAAAATCCCTTTCGGTGCCATGCTCTCCAAAGGAAACTATCGTGTGAAGCCAGGATTGATTGAAGACATGCTCACAATGTGCTGTGTATACTTTACCTCTGACTGTAGCACTGATGTGAGTGGGCAGCAGCAGTCTTTGTGCAAAGGGGGCAGTTGTGGGTAGTGCCAACAGGCAGATCTGACCTGTTCTAATGGCATGCTTGCTTTAGGGTGAAATTTCTTTCCATGGTCACTGATGTTTTCTGTGGTTCAGAGTCATCCTGGGACATGGTCCTTTGAAAAAAAGCATTGGTGTCTTTTCAGGGCATCTTATCTAAATTCCTGATGTCACCGGCTGCTCAGATGGGCTACTTTTGCCTTAATGGAGAGAAATCCTAAAAGCAGACCAGGACAAATGCTTGGCAAGAGGAATCTGCACAAGGACAGAGAAGTCACTATGTGGATAACTACCAAGTTGCAACAAGGCCTGTAAACAAGTATTTCCTAACTGGTTAAGAAACTGAAACAGGTATAAAAACAACTGCTAATCAGAAGAAGATCCTCCCTGTGCTGTCACAGATCCTGAAGCAGGCCTTTTCTTACTGTAATTGTAAGCTGATTAGATCAAGATCAAGAACTAATTGCGTAACTGCTGAAGTACCTGTCGAAATGGATTCCTGGTCTTGACTGAGATTTATAATGAAGTCACAACCACAGTTACTAATACAAGTAATAAATGAATGGATAATCTCAGTGAATATTTTGTGAATCAGTTTCACAGCTGCAGTTCTTAACAACCTCTGTTTCT